GTGAGTGTGTGTGTGTGTGTGTAACGATCCTCATGACGTCTGCTGGAGGCTCGTCCTGCTCGACTCATTTCTGCTGATTCGGAGGCAGCCTCGTGCTGCGCTGTGATTGGTCAGTCTGTTTTCGGCAGAATCCCTGAGTCAGAGCGAGAGATGCTGCGTCTCTGAGCTGTTCTCGTCTCTCTCCTCTGTGCTCAGATGTGCTTCTGCTGCTCGAGCATCATCAGCAACACACACACACATTAAACCGGAGAGTCGTCCAAACACAGAGCTCAAAGACTCGCAAAAAAAGAACAAAACAATGTACTGTTTTAATGCATGTTCTATAGAGTGAAAGATTCATCAGTGGCATTATTATAAAGAACCACGAATGTCCTCAGAATCTTTCAGCACTATTTAATAACTTGCTTCACCTTTCAAATGACTTGCATTTTCAGCTGATGTCATCTACATGTTAGTAACACTTTACAGTAAGATCTCATAACGTAACGTTAGTTAATGCATTAACTAGCATTCACAAAAGATGAGCAAGGCAAAGCAATTTATACCATAAAGCACAATTAAAAACAACAGTTAGTTGACAAATATGCTGTACAAAACATAAAATAAATGTGTCCCTGCAGCACAAAAGCAGTGTTAAGTCGCTGGGGTATATTTGTAGCAATAGCCAACAATACATTGTATGGGTCAAAATTATACATTTCTCTTTTATGCCAAAAATCATTAGGATATTAAGTAAAGATCATGTTCCATGAAGATATTTTGTAAATCTCCTACCGTAAATATAATTATAAGTATATAATTCATTTGGACAACTTTAAAGATGATTTTCTCAATATTTAGATTTTTTTGCACCCTCAGATTCCAGATTTTCAAATATTGTCCTATCCTAACAAACCATACATCAATGGAAAGCTGATTTATTCAGCTCATGTATTTAAAAAAAATGACCCTTATGACCAGTTTTGTGGTCCAGGGTCACATGTTAGTTCATAACAATACAACTGTTTATTGTTAGTTCATGTTAGGTCCATTAAATAATATAAACAGATACATCTTTTGATTTTAATAATGTATTAGTAAATGTTGAAATTAACATTAATTAAGATTAATAAATTATTTAGAAGTGTTTTACATGGTTAGTTCAAGTTAACTAATGTAGTTAACTAATTTTAACAAATGAAACCTTATTGTAAAGTGTTACCAAACTGGCTACTGTTTAAGTAATGCAGCATTTCTAAAATCATGCAGTAGTTCACACAGGTGTTTAATGCTGGTTAACCAGGCCCTCACTGTTCTAGCTCTTTATGATGAATCACTTGTTACAGCTACAGGGAAAAAGCATCTAGTCAAAGGATGTTATAGGATTTCATATCCGATGTGTTTCAAACAGAACGTTACCGAAGCTGAATGTGTTTCGGGACTCGTTGTGATTTTACTGTTGATTATGATTCCTCTCTCTCTCTCTCTCTCTCTCTGTCCCACAGACATTCCAGACCAATGTTCCCCGAACCCCTGCAATCTTTACGGGACGGTGCGCTGTGAGGACAAAAAGGGCGATTTCCAATGTCATTGTTTCACAGGATGGAGCGGTGTCAGGTGTGAGAAAGGTACAGACACACATCAGCTGTTCAGACACTCGCATTCAGGTTAAAGATGCTGATGAATATTATTCTCTGGATCATTTATTCAAAAACTATGAAAATGCAGTTCATACAGACAGTATCTTAACCATAGACTGTAAAAAAATGCGCATGTGTCTACAATTCCTTCCACTATAGAAAAGTGAAGCCAAAACATCCCAGTAGAACCTCTGTCATCTTGTGGCAGTGATGTCATTTGGAGCCAGAGTCTGCGCAGTAG